AGAGAAGAACTTAGGGTGAAGGCTTTCTCACACTGATTACATTTATAAGGCTTCTCTCCAGTATGAATCTTCTGATGTACCTTCAGGTTTGACCTTCGACTAAAGGCTTTCCCACACTCATTACATTTATAGGGCTTTTCTCCAGTATGAATTCTCTGGTGTTTGAAAAGGGTTGAGCTCTGACCAAAGACTTTCTCACATTTGTTACATTTATAAGGCTTCTCTCCATCATGAATCTTCTGATGTACTTTAAAGTTTGACATCTGACTGAAGGCTTTTCCACACTCATTACATGTATAAGGCTTCTCTCCAGTATGAGTCATCTGATGTACAATAAGGGCAGAACTCTCAATGAAGGCTTTCCCACACTCATCACACTTGTATGGCTTCTCTCCAGTGTGAATTCTCTGGTGTTTGATAAGGATTGAATTTTGAGTGAAGGCCTTCCCACATTCCTTACATTTATAAGGCTTCTCCCCAGTATGAATTCTCTGATGATTAACAAGGGTTGAGTTTTTATTGAAGACTTTCCCACATTCCTTACATGTATAAGGCTTCTCTCCAGTATGAATCTTCTGATGTTGAATAAATCTTGAGTTGTGAGTAAATGTTAGCCCACATTCATGACATTTATAAGCCTTCTCAACAGCATGGTTCTTTTGATTTTCAGTAAAATGTGAAGATTTAGTGTAAGCTTTGCCATGTTCCTTATGTTCATTTATTTTGTCTCTATTTTGAATCTTCTGATGTTTGGTCATTTTTCTCACCTTCTTCTCCTTCTTCATCTGACTCTTTACCTGGCTCTTACTTTCCCAACAATCCTCAGAAGTAGAGTATCAATGATCAGCACTGCTTCCAATTTTCTTTCACAATTTTCACTCTATATGATGATTCTTCTTCTGGAATGGTCTCTTTTGAAGATTCCTCTGTGCTCTTTATCCTAGGCTCCAAATCTGAAAGACAGTAATATACAGTACAAATGTTCCCATTTCTCTCAGCTTTGAGAAAGGAAACTCTGGATAAAGTAACATAACTGAAAATGGTGCACAGAGAAAGATAGCTCATTATGGAATAATTTTAAAAACCTTTTTAGTTTCTCTAGAAATAATATATTTCCTAGTCTAATAATTCTTTCCAGACTTTTCCCTATTTGAAAATATGTAGAAATAAACGATCACAAGCCTTTCCTAAAATAGGTAAAGGTTAAAAATCAATCCTTGAACAAAGGTCATCTCTTACGTCTTTAAAAATCATTGCATTCTTCATCCTTTAATGGACTGTGCTAAGACAGCTCAAATCTCTCTTCATAAGGGAATATAGGAATTGATCAGAGGGAAGAGGTCATCTTGGATCTGGAGGAGGTCCAGAACAATCAAGGGAATTGGTCCCTTCAAACCTGGGCTCAGCTCAAGACTCCCAGAATTCCTTGTCCATCCCTTTCCTGGTTATCTTCTCACAGTAGCCATGTACCCCCATCACTGAGAGCTCCCACCTCTTCCTCTTAGTGAATTCCTCTCTGTAATCTCCATTTAAGGAAGTGCCCAACCATGATCATGATGCCTCTATTTACTTTGACACCTTGCCTCCACCTGGGCACTCCTTTCTCTACTTTCCAGCAACTTTTTTATATGTTAACATTCTTTGTGAGAATGTAAGCTTCTTGAAGGCAAGGAATGCTTTCTTTTTGCTTATGTTTGTATTCTCAGTGCAAAGTATTTGTAGTCTCAGTGCCTCACAATTACCAAATGTTTTATGAATCTATCAATAAAGGGAGAAACAGAGTAATGACTATTATTTTGGCCCATTAACCCAAAAATGTATTTTAACATGACTTGTCACAAGATAAATGTTACTACAGATAGTTGTGGGCAGAGGGACATCTCTGAGGGTATAGGGGTAGGATGGGGTAGACCATACCAGTTTATATAGTTCTCTGTCCACTAGAATTTGCTTTGATATAGAATGATACTAGATTTAAAAATTGTTTCTGTCATGGCAGATGTGTTTAAAATACAAAGCACTTTTCCCCTACCTCCCTTTCTCACTAATATCTGAAATGTTTATGGGGTTTTATGTTTTACCAAGCATCTTTCTTTATTTGACCATGGTAACAACCATGGGATCAGTAAAGACATCTCTAATTTACAAGGTTCAGAGCTTCAGGGTCTTGCCCATGGTCACAAGGTGAGTTAACAATAGATAACATTTATTTGGCACTTTCTGTATACAAAGGGCTCTCTCCCTAAGACTCCAGGATGTGGTGGTCATTGTTACCCATCCCATTTTCCATGAAACACTTATCTGAACTTGTTTTCTTCTCCAACCTACAGCTACTTTCCATACCACCCACCCATAATTTATTTCTGAACTATAGGGTGCCAGAGAGATAGAAATATGGCAGTAGGAGCCCAGGAGAAATACAGTAAAAGACATTTATCACAATCATTCTATCCAAAGGCTTCTTGTGGCATTACCTCTTACTGAATAGACATTCCAGTAATTTGGGTGGTCAACAGAGCAGGATACTGGATCAGCAAAGGTTCAAGAGATTTTTTCAGTGATCAGATTATGTACTGGGCTACCCACGGAGGCAGTGTAGAGAGAAAAGAGGAAAAGCCAGGACAGGACTCTGAGAGACACCACCATTAAGTGGTCATGACACGGATGACAATTCAGTAAAAAAGGGGGCAGGGAAGGAGGGGAAATGGAACAAGCATTTATTAAGCACCTACTATGTGTCAGGCACTGTGCTAAGTAAGCTTTTATTGACATTATCTCATTTGATCCTCACAACAACCCAGGGAGGTAGGTGCTATTATGTTCTCCATTTACAGTTGAGGACCCTGAGGCAGACAGAGGTTAAGCAACTTGCACAGGATCATACAACTGATAAGTGTCTAAGATCGGATTTGACTCCAGGGCCAGGGTCACCCAGCTGCTACACTAGAAGGATGGCGAGCCAGATCAGAGGGAAATCAAAAGAAAATGGTGTCACAGAAACACTGAACAGAGAACATGTGTGCCCTGAGAGTAAAGTCCATCACCACAAATACTACAGAGAGGTCAAGAATGAGGACTAAGAAAAATGCCATTAATATTATCAATTAAATAGACTGTTGCTAACTTTGGAGAGTGAGGAAAGATCAAGCAAGAGAGTGCACAGAGGGTTCAGAAAGCTCAGAGCATCACGTAAATGGAGACGTGGAAGGGGCCTCAGCCTTGGGCGACAGTTAACAGATACGACTTTCCATTGTCACATGTCCAAGAAGCTGCCTCTAAATGACTCTTCTAAGGGGGAACCCCTTCCTCTTCTTCAACTTTAGGAAGGTTTTCTTAAAACAACCCTCTTTGCCCCCTTGCAAGTTCCAAGCTTTGCTCCTGACTCTGTCTCCTACAACCAAAGTCAACAAACAGAAACTTTCTTCCGCACGACAGCCCTTTCCATAGTGAAGGCAATTTTTATTCCCCCACATCCTTGAGACCTCGAATGCTCACAGGAGTCAAGGCTGCTCAGCATCCTGGTGCCCTCTTCTGGGCACTCCAGCTTATCTCTGTCCCTGTAGGCACAGCGCCCAGAACTGAACACCAGACCTAGACAAGATCAGACGCAGGCAGAGGACATGGCCTGATCTCTCCCTAGGGCTGGAAGTGTGGTCAGCTTTTCTGCCTCATATTTCACACCGTTGATCCCTAGAAGCCTGCACTCCCAGATAGTTGGAGGAATGCTTGCTGTTTTATGTCCTGTGGAATTCCACCCAATTCTCTAGCATGTGCTAATCCTTTTGGATCCTGAATGTCATCCAATGTTAGCCATGCTCCCAACTTTGTATCTTCTGCAAGTTCATTTAACATACCATATCTCCCTTTATCCAAGTCACTATCAGAAAAGTCACAGAACAAACACAAACAAAAAAAAAAGGGTGGAAAGTGTGACTGAAACATTTTAAAGCGCAAAAGGGAACAGAAAAAAATCCAGAAAGAAACACATATAACACATTGAGGCATTTTTTGATACAAAAAGTCCAGAGACAAACACAGCTATAGATAACTAAACATTTTTTTTAGGTACAGAAGGAAACAAAAGGAAGTCCAGATGGATATATAGTCATCAAAACTGAGGCATGTTTTAGTTATAGAAAGGAACAGAAGTAAGTCCAGATAGAAACAATGATGTAGAAACTGGCATTCTTTGTAATACAGAAAGGAAGATAAGTAAGTCCAGAGAAACACAGCTATAGAAACAAAGGCATTTTTAACGTGCAGAAGTACATCAAAACAGACACAGAGCCATGGAACTGAGGCAATTTGATGAATATATATATAGATATAGATATAGATATATATATAGAGAGAGGAAGTAAAGGATGTTGAGATAGAAACACAGCCATAGAAACTGAAGCATGCTTTTTAGATACAGAGGGGAACAGAATGAAGTCCAAACAGAAAGACAGTTCTAGGATTGAAGCATTTTTTAGGTAAAGAAAAGAAGAAGTCCAGGGAGAAATCTGGCCAGATAAATTGAGGCATTTTTTGCAGACAGAAAAACATAGCTGTAGATATTGAAGGATTGTTTTAATGCAGAAGAGAGCTGAAAAATTTCCAGATGGAAACACAGCCAAAAAAAATTGAATCTCCACCCCCTCAGAATAGAACAGAAGGAAATTCAGGCAGAAATACAGCCAAAGAAATTGAAGCATCGTTTTAGGTACAGAAGGAAGTCCCAAGAGAAATACAGCAGAAACACTGAAGTTTCTTAAGCAGAGAAAGGCACGGAATCAATTCCAGACAGACGGTTCTGAAAGATACATGATGACTCTCTCATCCTGGTGTTGGCAGTTCGGAAAGGAAGGGAACCTTTGGTACCTTTCCTTGTGGAAGCTCCTCCCTCCAATGGCTTCTCCAGTTCCCCAATATTGGGGATTATCTCTAGAGGGTGAATCTGGACGAGACATGGGAACCTGAAAGCATCTGGTCAACAGGAGGGCCTGTGGGATGGAAAAAGGAAGTGGGGAGAGAGCCCTGAGGGGGACCCAGGAGAAGTCTCCAGTGCCAACATCCAGAAAGAACAGGCTGAGTTCATGACCCCCGTGGGATGGGGCTCTGGCCCCTCCCTCTTATTCAATCTGTGCACCAAGGCTTCTGGTTTCCAAATCCTTCCAGTCAATTTCATAAGCAAGATTAAGTACGAAACTGAAGCACCTGCTGTGTGAACAGGGCAGTGCTACAGACAGCAGCTTAGACAGGCTTCTGACCTCCCGGGCCAGCCTCAAACTGGACCTCAGTGCAGAGGAATCAATAATAGAAACAAGACTGTCCCCGAGGTTACTCACCATCAATGCCTGGGATCCTGGTATTCTCGATCGGGTTTCTCCAACAGAGGAGATCTCAGACATCCTCTTGGGGTTCTACTCTCACAAGCCTGGGAAGTCTGAGTCACCGAAGCATCTAAATTGAAACCCGTCCAGTTCACACCCCAAGCTCCTCCCTGGCATTCAGGTTCTCAAGCACTAAGGGAACTTTCCTTCAAAAGGGGCAGTTCACACAGTAACAGCCACGTTGTGCGACGACTAACGTTGACAGACTTGGCCCTTCTCAGCAATGCAAGATCTAAGACATCTCCAAAGGCCTCGTGATGGGAAATGCTGTCCACACCCAGAGAAAGAACCGTGGAGTCTGAACGCAGATCGGGGCAGACTATGTTCTCTTTTTGTTGTTTGTTTTTCATGGTTTTTCCCTTTGTTCTGTTTCTTCTTTCACAATATGACTAATGTGGAAATATGTTTAACATGATTGCACAAGTATGACCTATATCAGATTGCTTTTTGTCTTGGGGAGGGAAGGAGTAAGAGGAGGGATGGAGAAAAATCTGGAATTCAAAATCTTATAAAAAATGAATGTAGAAAACTATCTTTACATGTAATTGGAAAAAATAAAATACTATTTACAAAAACAAAGACAAAACAAAAGGGGTGGCTCATAGATGCAGAGAAATTGAGCCCTAGTATGGAGAGGACACACACTCATACATCTACAAGTCTAGGGGTGGGATCAAAGAAATAAAGAAGGATCTGATTCCCTAGGATTTCTAGGAGGGCCTTATAATTCCCAGAACTGACTGTTAACCACTTGAATTCACCCTTATTGGCAATGGTAAAAAGCCTCAGAATTTCCAGAATGGATGTGGACAGCAGATTGCAGATCATCTCCTATAAAATCAGCCAAGAATCAGAAACTGGGGGGCTCAAGTTTCAAACTGTGCCATTGACACCTCGTGTTCTGGGTGATTGGGAAAGGCTTCTTTTAGAAGAAAGAATTTTAGCTGGGCCTTAGAAAGCCAAGGGAAAGCAGGAATTGGAGACAAGGAGGAAGACAATTCCAGGCCAGAGGGATAGATAGTGAGTAAAGTGCATGATTTAGAGATTTAGAGACACAGCCTAATGTCAAAAGGCTGGAAAAGTGCGGGGGGGCTGAAAGGTTGTGAAGGGCTTCGAATGTCAATATTTAAGTCTTGAGGTGACACGCAAGCACTGGACTTTATTGAAGAGGAGGGTGACATGGGCAGATGTGAATATCTCAGGCGAGTAGAAGATGGACAGGAGGAGGGAGAGACTGGAGGCCAGCAGACCAGCCAGCGGCTACCGCAACAGCTCAGGCAGGAGGTGACCGAGGCCTGCACCAGGCAAGGTCAGATGTAAAGAGAGTTTAAGAGGGTGGGTTCTAAAGGGCACGGCAACTTACTGAACTGCAGGGTGGCAGGGAGAAGACTGAGCAAAAGGAAGCGGCAATGACACTTAGGCTGTAGGCCTACCTCTTGGAAATATCCCAAAGCCTGAAAGCCACCTTCAGTATCTACCACACTCCCCCCCAACCCCCATGATTTTACTATCACAAAAGAAAACTCAGAGGACTCTGAATAGTTCTGGGAACTTAAATCCTTTTCTTTATCCAAAGGCAAAAAGCTGGAGCTTAACAAATATTAACTGATAAAGAAGTTCCCATGCCTTGTGTCTTAGTGTAACCTCCCTCCCAATAAAGTACTTATATTTTTTCCTTTGTAACAATTTGAGCACCTTTTATAATAAATCTGTTTTCCCAACTTTCTGCCCAGCCAGATCCTACCTGCTGCACCTTACACATCTTACCCCAAACTGCTTTGTACTCTCTCTGGGTCATGAAGCTCAGGAGGCTATAGAAATAGATTGTATTTATACATGTCAGATATTGTGTATATATGCACACACTTACAGATACATGTTCACTCATGTATCTGTCACCAGTGAACCTGTGGAACACCCCTGTGCATCCCTAAATGAGGGGGTGTGCCCATCTGTCTGCATCCTATGTATGCTGTGCTGTCTTCTGGGCAGTGGCTAGCAAGGACCCAGGTCAAACTGTTAAACAGACAGTAGGTGACGAGAGACTGGAGGTTGGGAGAGAAGTCGGAGCTGGACAGGTACATCTGAGAGAAGTCACCTGAGCAGAGAGAACAACCGAAAACATGGGAACCACGAGCTCTCCGGGTGAAACGGGAGAAGGGAGAGGCTGCCCTTATCTAGCCTTTCTTTCCCTGCCAGTAGAGAAAACAGCCAGCAGCCCCCAGAACTGCCTGGAAACTCTAAAACATCCACTTAGTTTGAACCCTTCCTTCTTTAGGACAGCTCTAACTGAGACAACAAGCATTTATTACAAGCCTAGGACTAGGGATACAAATTAAAAACAGTCCCTGCAGAGACTTTACAACCAAACAAGAGATGTAGAGGATTATGGGAAGTAAAATAGATGATTCTGATTATATGCAATTTAAAGGCTTTCACACAAACAAAACTAATGCAGCCATACTTAGAAGGAAAATAGGGGGGAAATGTGTAGCAAGTTTCTCTAATAAAGGCCTCATTTCTCAAATATGTAGGGAACAGAACCAAATTTATAAAAATAAGAGCCATTTCCAGTTGATAAATGGCCAAAGGATAGAAACTGACAATTTTTGGAAGAAACCAAAGCTATCAATGGTCATGTGAAAAAAAAAAATGCTATAAATCACCACGGATGAGAGAAATGCGAATTAAAACCACTCTGAGATACAACCTCACAACTATCAAATTGGCTTACATGACAGAAAAAGAAAATGACAAATGCTGGAGGGGATATGGAAAAGCAGGGACACTGGTGTACTGTTGTCGAAACTGTAAATTAGTCCAACCATTCTATAGAATATAGCCCAAAGGGCTATAAAACTGTGCATTTCCTTTGATCGAGCAACACCATCACTAGATCTATATCCCAAAGAGATCAAAGCAAAGGGGAAAAGGACCTATTTGTACAAAAATATAGCAGCTCTTTTTGTGGTGGCAAAGAAATGGAAATGAAGGGCATGGCCATCATTTGGGGAATGGCTAAACCAGCTGTGATATTGTGTTATATGAAATAATGAACTGCTACAAAGTGAAGTGAGCAGAATTACCAGAACATTGTACACAATAACAGCAATATTGGAAGGCTGATTATCTGTGAAAGACTCAGCTACTCTGATCACGACAAAAACCCACAGTGAAAAATGCTATCTGGAGAGAGGAAGGATGAACTCTGAATGCAGACTGAGTTTTTAAAACTTCATTTTTAGTATTTTGTTTTGTGTTTCTTTTACAACATGGTTAATACAGGACTCCCCTCATGGATTTCTGCCTTGTGGTGGGCAGAGGGGCTTTAGTAGCTCAATGAAACTATGAGCTAGGTGGGGCAGTTACCCAAGACAGACAGGTCACAGTGGAGAGTTCTTACAAAAGGTAATCCAGCATTTTTGCCAGAAAACCCCATGGATGGTATTAAAATGCTAAAAGATACGTCCATGGGGTCATGACACATCAGATATGACTGAATGACTGAACAACAACATCATATGGAAATGTTTTACACAACCTCACATGTGTAATCAAAAATCTAAGTGCTTGCATTCTCAAGAAGGACGGAGACACCAACGATGGAGAAATTTGGAACTCAAATTTTTTCCAAAAAAAAAAAAAAATAGTTAAAAACAATTTTACAAGTAATTGGGAAATATTTAGTGAAACAAATAAAAAAAAAAACTCCTATTCTTGGAAGAGCTAACTCTCTAAAAAGAGAAGACTATATACAAAAGGGAGCTGAAAATCTGGGGAGGTGTTGGCGGGGAGAGAGCACAAAGGTACCTGGGAGGTTAGTACTGTGAGGTATGAAAACTGTCTCATCTCCCTTTCTTTCCTGTCACTAGCATCTCCTACTATTGACCTCTCTGACTTCCTTTACATTCCCACTAAAATCCCACTTCTACAGGAAGCTTTCCCTAAACCCTCTGAACTCTAGCGACTTCCCTCTTCTAGTTATTTCTGACTTAACTATTGATGACAGAAATGCAAATTAAAACAACTCTGAGCTACCACTACACATTTATCAGATTGGCTAATATGACAGAAAAGGAAAATGACCAATGTTGGAGGGGATGCAGGAAAATTAAAACACTAATGCACTGTTGGTAAAATTGTACAACTGCTCCATTCTTTGCAGCAATTTGGAACTATGCCCAAAGGGCTATAAAACCATGCGTACCTTTTGACCAAGCAATACCACTACTAGGACTGCATCCAAAAGTGACTGAAAAAGAAACAAAAAAAGGAAAAGGTCTCACATGTACAAAAATATTTACAGCAGCTCTTTTACCAGGGCAAAGAATTGGAAATTGAGGGGATGCCCATCAACTGGGGAATGGCTGAACAAATTGTTGCACATGATTGTGATGGAATACTATTGTGCTATAAGAAATGATAAGTAGTATGCTCTCAGAAAACACTGGAAAGTTTTACATGAACTGATGCAAAATGAAATGAGCATTGTACACAGTAACAACAACACTGTATAATGATCTACTGTGAATAATTTAGCTATTCTCAGCAATACAATGATCCAAGACAATTTTGAAGTATTTATGATGAAAGGTGTTGTCTATCTCCAG